TTTTTTTATGTTTTTAAATTTATAATTGTCTTTTTTTCGACTTGTCTGAATTTATTCTTTTCTTTTTTTTTTTAAATATCAGTCATTTTAGATGTTTATATTCTGATGCGTCTAATTTCACGGAAATCTTTTTTTTTTGATTTTATAATTTTACGCTTATTTTTTTTAAAATAATTCTAATTATTTTGATTACTATATTTTTTCATTGCTATTTTTTAACTAATCGATATTGCAAAGTATCCTCAATAAGACACATCATTTTTTTATTATTTCTGAAATCTTATTTTTCCATATTTTTCATTTATTGATTTCCTTACTCACAGATTTCCAAAATTTGATGTTTCCATTTTCTGTAAAATTTCCGACCGTAAAGAATCAATGAAACGCATTGTATCTATTATCCAAATAACAACAGTTTCCCTGTAAAAAGTTGCGCCAAGACCACTTTCATAAGACTTATCTCAATAATATTTGCTCTTTACAAAAAAAATAGGACTAATTTCAATAACTTTCATTCTTGAAAAAAAAATGTGATATACAAAAAAATACCAAGAAACCGTTATAATTTAAAAAAAATTAAGAAAAAATTTTGTTAAAAATTTAAAAATTAATAAAAAAAATTTATGTAATCGTCCTTGGTGTGCGTTATTAAGTACCCTGAATTTTTTCAGGATTGATGAATATTCTTTTAATGCATGCAAATATTTATAAGTTAACCTATAAAATGCATAAATATAATTAATGAATTATTGTTTAATGAAAGTTTCGCAAAACTGAATGTGCATGGATTAAGTCAGACAAAGATAAGAATAAGTTAAAAGAAATTTTAATATCGTTTGAAACTAAATTTTAAAGTTTATTTCATTCAAATTTTCTCGCGAAGAGATAAAACTTTTTTTTTTTTTTTCTATTAAACATGAAAAAATACAGATGGCTCTGGAAAATTATCCATTGAGCTCAAGATTGCCAATATAGAACATAAAAATATATAATTTTACACCACGTCTAAGACAAAAAGTGCCATCTGTCATATAGATTAAAACCAGTCAATATTAATTTTACATTATATGAAAATCTTGATATTTAGAATAAATTGAGACATTGCATTTACAATATTACCGTTATCTTTCCTAATTAGCAAGGCTTCGACGTTGTCAGGATATGACTTTGAGACTTTTTGGAGTGATTTTCTTAATTTTTTTTCTCTGAGATACAAAAAGAGAACAAATCCAAAAAATATGATCTGGAGTCTCCTCATCCATATCGCACGGGCATCTTGAGAACAGTACAATATTAAATATAAATAGGCTAGCCTTAAAAAACGTGTAGCCACTTCTCAGCCGATTTATTGAAACCAAAGGCCTTCTGGCCAACTATCAAACCATGGTCTAGCTTCTTCCTTATAAAATTTTCTAAAATAATTTGTACCTCTTAAATCTGCAGACTCAAGACACCATGCGTTAAAATCTTCTTTCAATTTCATTTTCCACCTCTTTTTGAAGTCATTAACTGGCAACCCCAAATTGGAGTCCTTCCCTGTTACAGCTGCTTTTTTTGCCACCTGATCCGCTCACTCATTACTTTCTGATACCCACATGGGTAGGTATCCAATACAGCCTGACCTCTTTTCCTTCCTTCCTGCAACTTTAGAATTAGGTCCCTGATGCAGAGTATAATATATGATTTTTTACCTAAATATTTAATGGAGATGAGAGTTTCCAACACACTTCTTGAGTCGGAGAATATCACGAATTTCCTTTGTGAAGATTTAAATATTAGCTTCAAAGCCTCCAAGATCGCCATCCCTTCAAGTGTAAAGATCGACGCTATTTTAGAAGTCCGAAGTTCCAGTTCCACGTTGTCATTACCTCCTACTACGGCAAAACTGCCAAAAACAGAGTTGAGAAACCAAGAGCCGTACGTGAAAAAACATGTTGAACCCTTGAGTACCTCTTGAAATATT